AATAACAACAAAAAATAAAGAAAATGAGCCTTATGACGTTCCGAAATTTGTAAAGCGGAAATAAAAATTCTTCAATGTAGAAAGCAAGTGGTTAATTAAAAGGGCAAGGAAAATTTTTTTGTCGCGTACGCGTGTTACGCAAAAATGAGAGGATTTGATGGTAGGACGATACGGAACGGTAACGGGATCGAGTACTTTGCCAGATTCTTATCACGTGTGAGGCACGCCACGTGTGTGTGCGCTGTCGCGTGTATATATGTAGGTCAAAGTCTTCGGCAATGTTTGCAATCTCAAAGGAAATATTTTACATGAGATAGCTATTAACGTACACCTATATTAAAGACATATGTACGTTTCGGTACTTGATTTAACAACTTATAATATTTCTTTGAATAACGGAATACAAAACTGCTTTTAGAAGTCTTCCAGAACGAAAGATGAAAAGATACGTTTTTTCTACATTCCAATGGTTCACTAGCAACATCGTACATGATAATCCTGATAATCCTAAAAAAACAAAAAAAAAATAATAATAATAATAACTTTCATACATTTGACAGATCTAGAAAATTGAAAAGAACTTTCGACTTGAAGTCGCCATCAATTCGACCATCAAGTTACTACTACGAGTCTATCTCTCTTCCGGACAACGATATAATTTTGTACTTGCTGGAAAGATTAGGAAATTATTTACGAGGACATTATTCGCAAGTACCGGCTCGCGAGATCGTCGCGCTTCTGAGAAGTAGTAGGAGAAACTTATGGAAAGCTTCGTAAGGAAAATTCTCAAGAGTGAAATTCTCGATGGAACAAGCAGTGCGAAGAAGCAGCGGTGGCGAGGCTAGGGGCGAGTAGTCGGGGCGGGGGAGGAGAAGAAGGTGGTATAGGGTGGTGGGGGGGGGGGGGTAGTGGTTTGGGAAGGATGAAGGGTCGGAGAAACGAGGGGGGTCTACGAGGAAAGGCGGAGGAACTAGCGAACTCGAATTCGTCCTTTGAGAGGCCGACAGCAGGCACCAGCCGGAGGAAACGGAGTAAAATGTCCTGGAAACAACGAAGTCTTTCGCTACTCTCTCCCACTCTCCTTTTGCAGGTATAATCCCCTCCTCTCTACCCCCTTTCTCACCGTCTTTGCCGCTACCGTCGAGGAAAGCTCGCTCGCCCACCCTATATTTTCAGTATCTGGAATAAGTGTGCAGGGGGCTGCAAGACTGTGTTCCGCCCCCTTCTTTAATTACGTTCAACCTCCCCTCGCGAACGACTCGGTATCCCCTGCCGTCCTTCTCCTACACCCCCTCAGTCAAATTTACTCCTCCTCCTCATCCTCCTTCTTCTTCGCCTCTCTTTCTCAGCTCTCCACCCACCCCGTCGAGCCACCCTCTTTCTTACCCCTCTCGCCGACCGTCCCGCCGTTTCATCCATTCATCCTTCGGGCTCTTCTGTTTTTAGAGAAGAAAATTTTAATTGGAATCCAGAGACGTTCCGCCAGTCCTAACTCCTTCCACCATTCGCTTATCCTTCCTGTGACTGTCCTTCTCCTTAACGATTCTCATCCCTTCCTGCGAAATATCGTCTTGATTGTCGATATTCTTTTTCAAATCGATAATCCTTTTTTTTACGTTTTTCTTTTTTTACGGCGAATAAAATACATATTGTTATCTGTTAAAAAAAGTGTGAATTAATTTTTTTTCTTCGATCTTAATAAAAAGAAACGTGAAGATTAGAACGACGGAGATTAATCTTCGCTTTCGAGTTATCAATTTAATAATAAAATTATTTATGCATCTAATTTTATATTCTAAAAACAATTACTCTGAAAATATCGTAAGAACCAGAATATTAATTCGAGAATTTTCTAATAATGGATATACCTATCAGAAACTAATGAATTTTAGCACGAAGTAAGAGACAACGGTAGAGCGAGACGGAAGATATAAATATTTTCTCTCTAATTGTGAAATCGATAGAAACGATTATAATACGAGCTCTCACCTATAATAGGTGAAAGAGAGGTCGATAGTCGATGACAGTCCTATCGTAGAATTTAAAGGTGATACAGTTCAAAAATATCACTTCGTAGAAATTAGAAGTGTGCAAGTGGTTAATTAAAGCAACTATCGTATACGCAAAGAAACATACGATGTACCAAGTGGATCCTTATATGTATTGGGTAAAGCACTTAGTTTGCTCGAGAAATAAACGATGCTTGATTACTCTGTGATTACGCTTGCACGATTTTTGATTGTTTCCCCTTATCATTGGAACAAAAAAAAAAGAAAGAAAAAACAAAAAAAAAAAGTTACAATTTTCCTAAAATCGCGTCAAAACATTTTTCAAAAATCTATCTTTGCGATCAAATGTATTTTCACATTATAGAGCGTTCTTCGGATCAACAATTAAGACAATGAAAGAAAGAAAGAGAATATTACTCAAAAATATTTAGGATGAAAATCGAGATATTATATTGAAACGAGGTTTGTAGAAAGAAAAAAATAAGATAAACGAAGAAAAAGAAGAAAAAAGGACAAGGGACGATTCCTTTTATTGGTCCATTAGAATCGATCGAAGTAAAAGTATTCGTGACGATTCCCTAGGCAAATCGTCCGGAGTAGACAAAGACGTTAAATGGGCGAACGAGCGAGAGAAGAGAATTTGTCTAGAAAGGCTCGGAATAGGAGAGAAGGGTGATTGTGCATTTGGTGCGAGGAACAAGGGACGAAAACCGGAGAGAGAGAGAGCAAGATAGCGATAGAGAGAGAGAGAGAGAGAGAGAGAGAAAGAGAGAGAGAGAAACGTTAGAGAGAAGGAACGGGCCAGCGATAGAACCGCTCGATTGAGTCCACTGAAACAGTTTGTGTCTGCGGTCCACCGAAATTGATCCGGCAACACCGCGGCAACTGTCTCCAACACTCCCGCTCCTGCACCCCGCCATACCCACTCTCAATCTCTCTCACTCTCTCTCTCTCCACCTCATTCAAAATCCCTCTTTCACCCTTTCCACGAACGGCACCGCCACCACCACCACCACCACCACTACCACCATCAGCAACCGCCACCACATCTTCTCGTTCCCGTTCTGGCCATGCGGACACCTGTGGTACCTCGTCGAAGATCGCGACGATTACGTGCTACAGCTTGATCTCTCTAGGGATCCTGATCGTTGATCATACATGAAGCAACTCAATCCAATTCTATTCGGAATGAATAGTTTCCCAAAAGGAACAAAAAAATAATTATTCGAAATCTCTTCTGAAAAAATCATCGCACATAGAATACTCTCATTATATCGAAAGTAATGTGAGGGGGAAAACGAAGAAAAAAAAAAGCAAAAGAAAGAAAAAAGAAAAATTTTAAACGTGTATCATTTCTTTCTTCGTAAATTTTTCGATGTAAGCAAAAGAACCGTGAGCACGTCGACTGAACGAATCGAGAGAAAAGGGGGCAAAGAGAATGGCCGGAAGACGAGTAGCGAGCGTGGGAGTCCCGTTGGAAAGGGTGGCGAGAATAAGAAGAGGTGGAAAGATAGGGTTGCAAGGCACTCGTTTCGAAAAGGTCGAGTTTCGATGGTGAGGGGACAAGAAGGAAGGAGATTAAAGGAGAAAACAGAAGGAGAAGGAAAGAAGAACCGAGGACGGAAAGAGGAGAGAAAGAGAGAAGTAGAGAGGTGGTTGAAAAGGAGGAGGAGGTGGAGAGTGGGTGGGTGGATGATGGGGTGTGAGGAGAGAGCTCGGCAACGCAAGACGGATAGAGGTCGTAGTCAGCAGGAGACGATGGAAGTAAAAGGAGAAGGAGGAAGTTGAGGTGGAGGGTAGGAGAGAAATAAAGATGGCCGCTCCCGCCTCCAGGGCAGGACCACCCTCTCCTTTTCCATCTCCTCACGGTAATAAAAGGAAAAAGGAGAGAAAACTGAGGAGCGGAGTCGAAGGTGGTAGCTTGGCCTGCGGAGCTGCTACGGACGATGCCGACGACGACGACGACGACGACGACGACGACGACGACGACGACGACGACGACGACGACGACGAGTACGATGGTGAAGGAGACGAGGGGGTTGTCTGCGGGGGAAACAGTTCTTATTGATTCAGAGGAGCCACCTCCACGAAGGAGCCCGCCTGGTGGACTTACTCCTGGACCTCTATTCACCCTCCTCGTCTCTCTCTCTCTCTCTCTCTCTCTCTCTTTCTCTCCCTTTCTCTCCCTTTCTCTCCTTCTCGCCTTCCTCTCACATCTTGCAACTTGCTACGAACTAGGATCGCATTTAGCTACCTTCCATTGCCCTCTTCTTTTCTTCCTTCCTTCCTTCCTTCCTTCCTTTCACCCTCTCTTCCTCTTTCCTCTCCTGCCTATTGCGTACCTCCGGGAATTTTACACCCTGATGTCCGCTTGATTCAGGAGTAAATTGTACTTTAAATCCAACACGTTTGTGTTTCAAGTCTTTTTCTTTCTTGTCTTTTCTTTTTTCTTTTTCTTTCCTTTGATTATCCTTTTTTCATCTTTTTCCCTTCGTCCAATTAGATTTATTTTAAAGACACAGTTCTATTCGTTCAAATTCGTTCCATTTATCTCGGTTTTGAAAGATTCTTACGTATCAAAAGTTCTTTTCTCGACATGGCAATGTTTTACTATTCGGTTATATATATCTGAGAAGTAACGTTAGCTCGTATATATGATAGTTAACGATCTATCACGCATGGGCGTTGAAAGATGATTACGTAGGTTGGTGCTATCGTGTAGCACGTTGGTTCAAATTACGTTTAGCGTAGCTTGATACATATGTTAAACTATAAGTATCTATTCGATTCATTGTAACATTAGAGAGGAGATAGATAGAGCGGTAAAAAGATAGAGAGATAGAGAAAGAGGAGATAAAGAGAGAGAGAGAGAGAGAGAGAGAGAGAGAGAGAGAGAAAGAGAGTGAGCACTTTAAAAAGAGAGAGAAAAAAAGAGGGAGAGCACTTTAGAAAGAATCTTTTTCTTCTCTTTTGTATTCGTGTCATCGTCGTCGTCTACTCTTCCCACAGTTTTCATGTATACCATATAGAGGAATGTAGACGTGGAGCAAGCAAAGCCCAGGGGTCAAATTGACTCCGACTTTCTGGCTCCTGTTACACGTGAGAGCCCTGGGTTCTCCACTTGAGTTTATAGAAGGAAAAGCGATTTCAACGAGTTTTTCCAGAGTGCTTGTTTACCGCTTCCAACGTGAATTCTACCGGTATATGTGAATGCCCGTATATTTCGTTGCCCGTACACACATAAAACACATGTATATATATATATATATATATCTTGATAGAGGGTAGATGTACATACACGCACATATACAAATAGACACCAACTGTATAGCGGTTACCCTTTATACATGTATACGTAGATACGTAGGTGAACGATATCACGCACGACACATACTAAAAAGTTGTCCATCTAGGAAACACGAGATCGATCCTCAAGGTAAGTGACTCAATTACAAGACAATTTCTAATTTTCGTCATGCGTATTTATCATCATGCGTTCTATATTATATTTTTCTTCTTAATTTTTTTTTTCTTTTCTCATTATTGACTTTATTACGTCAATTTAAAGAATTTTTTTTTTTTTTTCATAAAAGAAGAATAAAAACGAAACAATAAAAAAGACCGAAAGAGAAAAGTAAAGTAAAATAAATCAGGTGACGTCATCGATGATTATTATTCTTATGTTTATATAAAGTCGATGAAATTCTTCTTAATCTTTGAAGAAATGTAAAGCGTTAAGAAACGTCCGCGAGCATATCGATCTCCGTTAGCGTAGCCTATTCAACCTGGGCGTTGTACGAAAGGAGAAATGCAACGTCGTAATTTTGTAGAACTTTTCCAAGCTGCACTAGCAGTCAGTTTTCTCTCTTTCTCTTTCTCTTTCTCTTTCTCTTTCTCTTTCTCTTTCCTTCTTCCCCCTCCCGTCACTCCCTCTCACTCTCCTTCTCGACTTCTCCAAAGCGGTTCTCTTCTCCTCCTCGCCCACTCGCACGCTCGCTCGGCTCTCTGGGCAAATTGACTTTTCCTAATAAACCAACTCGCGAGGCAACTTCGGCGAAAATCATTTAAAACTTTGCCAGACTCGAATTCGCATCTCGTTTTAATGCGGAGGCCCGCAGAAAGCTTCGTGTGCGTATGCATCCTCTTCTCTTTCTCTCTTTCTCTCTTTCTTTTTTTCTTTTTTTTTTTTCTTCTTATTTCTTTCTGTCTTTCTTTCTTTCTTATAAATATTTCGGTTTTATTCATAGTTTCTTTTATATTCAACATCGTTATCGGTCCTTTTCTATCGTAATAGCCAGTGCATTTAAACACAACGAAACAACGACTCGTTTCTTATAATCCCAACGACTATGAAAAACGAAAACAACGAAATTAAATGAGATTACGTGAGTTATTAAACTGTGAACGTTAATCCCTACGACGATATGTATCTCTCATCGTATCGTCGAAAAATTTGTTTACATACATACACACCATTATAACGTATTACGTTGAAGTTTCTTTCGTCGAAGAAGGGAGAAAAAAACAAGAAAAAAAAAAAGAAAAGAAAATACAAAAAAAGAATTCCTTACAGCTAAATTATTTGTAGTTTCTTCTAACAACGATGCGAAAAGTCAATTGTAAATATTTAGCAACCGATATATCTTCTATCGATTTCAATGAAATCTTTTCAGTTCCACGTGGCTGTCATCTCAAACGGCGCTTAATGGTTCGCGAAATCGATGTGGATAAAATCGAAGAATATAATCCTCAGTAGTCCCTTACAGAGCCAGCTCCCCCCTTTCTCTCTCTTCTCTCTCTCTCTCCCGTCTTTCTCCCTCTCTCTCCCATCCTTTTACATTAAAGTTACATACAATTCTCGCTTTAACATTATTTCATTCACGTGAATAATTCAACGGGCATTCCGCAATGGCTGCAATGTGCTATAGAGACCGATCTGGTCACAAGTCGAAAGATAGCAAGAGAAAGAGAAAGAGAGAGAAAGAGAGAGAGAGAAATAAAGAGAGAGAGAGAGAGAGAGATAAAGAGAGAGAGAGTGAGAGATAGAGAGAGAAAGAGAGAGAAAGAGATAGGTAGAGTCTGCGAAGAGACGCAGAGGAATGGGAAGAAGAGATGAGAAGAGAAGAGAAATGGGAGAGAAGCTAAAGGATCATTCTTCATTTTCTCTAGTCGTTAAGTCGATTAAGAAACCGTCGATAATAATTGGATTTGACGTCGAAGCCGAGCGAACGCCGTAAAACTCCTCATTGTTTCCGGTTTCAAAACTTCTCTGTCCGATCTTGGATAATAAATACTCTCTGAAAACGAAGTCGTTCGTAAAAAGAAAAAAAAAAGAGAGAGAGAAAAAATAAAATAAAGAAAGAAAGAAAAAGAGAGACATAAAGTATATTTTTTAATAGAAACGTGTGTTTTCAAACGTATGCTTTTTAATAGAAATATTCGAAAAAAGGAAAAGCAAAGAAAAAAAGAAAAATCGTCCAAGAGGCAAAGGATTTGTGTTGTTTACGTTATGAACGTAATGGAGATTATCCATCCTTGTTTCCTCGTTTAAATAAATTTTCCATCTCCATAAAACATTTACTTACGCTTTTCCCTGCCGAGAGTTACACGGTTTATCGTCATACTCATCTATCGACTGTCCTTCCCTCTAGTCAGACATTTACTTTCTTTCTTTCCATAAATAAATTTTCGCGAGGAGTGGGTGTACGCACTTATACTCTTGCAACGATTCATAAATCTGTAATCATAAAATGTTTTAATTTCGCTCTATAAACTTGTTGCTTTCATTGCGGAGTGGCATAAAGCAGGCATTTATCGAATAAAATTTCAGAGAAAATAGTAAACGTTTCGTTTGTTCGTTCGTTTGTTCGTTTGTTTGTTTGTTGTGACACAACGTTTCGCTTTAATTAGGCAAGTATTATATCGATTAACGAAATCACGTAATTCTAAAGATTGGTTATTATTAAACAAAAAAAAAAAAAAAAAAAAGAAAAAAAGAGAAAAAGAAGAAAAGAAAGAAGAAAAGAAAAAAAAGAAAAGAGAAAAGATAAGTAAGTTATACGTCTCTCTTTATCACTTTGTTTATCCCTTTGTATAACTTTTCATTGATATTCCACTAGGACATGAAGTCGAATTGAAAGATCTCACGTGTATAGCTGAAACTATTTCTCGAAGGTGTAAACGTGAATATCGGGTGTACGCAAGAAGCTCCGGTGGTTCTCGTCTCTCGGCTTGTTATTCCTGGTTTATGGGTTCTCACGTCGTGCGGCTGCAATGGTGGTCGTGGCGGTACTGCTTTCCTACAGGATTCCGTTACTATTTATTTCATGGCACACGCCCTACGCGAGGTCGCTACAAGAATGAAACGACTATGGCTACTGCTATCGTAAGCGAAATCCCACAAACCTCGTAATACCGTCTCTAAAAACCATTTTTTTCTTCTTCAAAAATCTTTTTTAAATTTTTTTCTTTCCTTTAAATAATCATCAAAGAATCTATAAAGTTATTATTGAGAACTGATTTAGTTATACAATAAATATAGGATAAAGTTATACAATAATATATTTGTTTTTATTAATATCTCACATTGTTATTGTAATGTAGATCGATCTAAAACAAATAAGCCATGCGTACGATTTTCCTCATGCATTAAAAATAATAATTATTGTTAATAATAATAATTATCGACGCATACCTATATTTGTGTTATTTGTGCGTCATTAGAATAAAAAAAGAAACAGATTTTCGCGAATGTAAGTGATCACGTAATCGTTTTCGGTCGCATTAAACTACCGTCAAAAATCTTTCAAAATTCTTTCGCGAGACTATAACGCAGATAGACAAAGAAGATACATATGTGCTCTTACGTATAAACCGGCGAGCCCGTTAATATTTATTTAATGTTCCGTACGAGGCCGTCTCGAGATAATTACGAACGGTTCGTTCCTTTCGTTGCGCTTCTTCTTTTTCTGACCAGCGATACGCGCGCGCGGAGCTTCGCGGTCTCGAAAAATTAATTATATCTCGAAAGTTAAAATCGAGTTTGGGGGGAGGCATGCGTTTGTTTTTGCTCGGCGTCGTTCCCATCCCTCGGGAACGGTGGAAATTTTAAACGAAAGTTTACTAATGAAGGCGACTTCCCCCGTTCTCCCTTTTTCCCATCTCCGTTACTCCCTCTTTCCAACCATCCTTTCCTCCTCTATGAAGCACCTCGCTCCTACATCGTGCGAGAAGTAAAATCGCATGGTGCTTTTCCGCAAACCGCTTTCCCCCGTTTCATCGTTGCCTCCGTTGAATGGCCGAGACTCTCGCGTAGAGTTCTCCATTTTTTCCACGTTCGTAATTCCATCGAACGAGCTTTTCCGAAAAAAAAAGAGAATGCTCCCAAAAAAGCGGACGAGCAGAAAGGGTTTGTCTCGCATCACTGTTGTTTTTTCTTCTCAAACCGCGCACGCTTCGATGACGACAAAAAGTAATATATTATTGATAAAATAAAATTTGTTTATGAAGAATGTGACGAATAGTATTCAGGATTTTATTTCGTTTGAGAAAATTCGACTGCTTCGTAACGGCCATCTTTAATGTGCGAACGAAAGACTAGAAGAAAATTCTCCACCCTTGATTCCTCGCTAACGAGCGACACATTTTCGAAAGATCGATAAAGGGTGCTCCTCGAAACGCGGAGAAAAGCAGTGTATTGTGGAAGGAGGCATAATAGAAAGAGATCCCTCCATTTTGCCAGCCATCTTTCGCACGGAGCTGCTGCCTAAACCACCCTCTCCCCGCTTTCCTCGTTCCTTCCATCGTCACGGAAACAAACCACCCCGCTTTTCCTCGTTGGGGGTAAAAGCTAGTGAGAAAGGGCTGTCGCTAAGAGAAGGAGAAAGAGAAAGAGAGATGAAGAGAGACAGAGAGAAAGAGAAAGAGATAGAGAAAGAGAAAGAGAGCGAAGGGTTCCTACCGAAAGTAAGGGCTTAAAAATGCCCCTCCTTGCTATCCTTCGCCGACCGTCGCGAGTAAGGGTGCCCTTCCAGGCAACCCCCAAAAATCATTAAAACCATCCCTCGCTGAACGCTCAAGGACTCTGTTCAAGAGAAAGAGATAGAAAGAGAAAGAGAGAGAGAGAAAGAGAGAGAGAAAGAGAGAGAGAAAGAGAGAGAAGAATGCCACCCTATGAGGAGATCTAGAACGCTTGAAGAAATTCTTTTCTCTGATGAAACTTGTATGTGTTACCGACGGTAAAATTAAATTCGAAATTATTTTCTTTTTTTTTACAGATTTCACAGAGTTTCATTCTCTCTCTCTCTCTCTCTCTCTCTCTCTCTCTCTAACTTTACCTCTCTCTATCTCTCTCTCTCTATCTTTCTCTCTCCCTCTCTCTTTTTCATAGGAGAGGTAAAGAGAATTTAATCTTACTTGATCCAATGTAAATATGTATGTATTTTGGCAGAAACTATGGGAGGAAGAAAAAGGAAAAAACGGAACGAAAGGAGAAAAATTTGAATTTCAGCATATGTGTGCCAGCGTGAGAACCTTCGATTTTTCATCTATTCCATATATTCTCGAGGACGTGGTAGAAAGAGAGAGCGAGAGAGCGAGAGAGAGAGAGAGAGGAGGAGCGAAAGTAGGTGGAGAAGCAGCAGGTGGCGCGTTAGACATCGAGACGCAGTCCCTCCTTCTTCGGCTTAACATAAAAATCATGACTCGAGAACGAAGGAAGCGTATAATTCGATGGGATTGCATAACAAGTCCAACGAGTTTCTATTTCGATGACAAAGATAGATATACATATCTTTATAAAGACGTCTATAGAGAAAGAAAGAGAGAGAGAGAGAGAGAGAGAGAGAGAAGAACTAACTACCTGGTTACACCTGCCGCGCTTTGTTCTCTTTTTAAGTCCAACGAAGGTGACCCTTCTCGAAGGACGAAGCAATTTTACGTAATTCCTGTATTTTCTTTATCGTTTCACTTCGAAGAATGCGATAACTTTGAATGAGGGTGACAACGTTCGAAAGGGTGATCCTTTTCCGAACGACCTTGGTAAATGTTACAAAGGATCGTTACGACAAACCTTTCATTCAAAAAGAAAAAAAAAAAAGAAAGAAAGAAAAAATCCCTCAAGACTTTTCTTCCTTCTGATTACTAACTATTTATGTTAAGGTATCGTAATCATGTGATTGAATACAATAGCGGAAGAAGAAAGAATGATGGACTGACTCCTCCTTCCGCACTAAGTGAGGAGTTCTTGAGTGTCAGAAGGACCGGAAGACTGTCAGCGGCTCATATGAAAAATCCAGAAATGTAGGTGAAAAAAATCAGGTGGATCGAAAGCCTTGCCAGATGTTGTGCGTCATGTGTGGATACGTGTACGCATACGTTACGTCCCTCGTCAAGTCGAAAAAAAATGTGACGCCCGGTGTGCGCAAGGGCATGCAGTACTTACTCGTTATCACGGAAGAGAATGCCGGTAACCGCAACAACGTAAACTACCACTTTGCTTTGACCTTAAGAACGTAAAGGCTACGACGTTGTTTTTCCTTTAATTGTTTCGAATTCAGAAAAAAAATCAACGAAGAATTTTTTCACTCTACACACACATATAACGACATTTTGTTCTTAATGATGTGTCTGATTGTTAAGAATGAAAAGACGTTAACAAATGATTACGATAGAAAGTATAAAACTTGAAAGAGAATAATACCTATTGTAGTAAATTTGTATAATTCATTTTAGTGTCAGTTAATGAAGAAAGAATGAATTTATCGTGCGTGCCCGTGTGCGTGTGTACATGTTAGATTTTAAACGTCTCTATTGAAAGTGACTCGAAGGATAGAAATATTTTTCGAGGGAAAATAAATTCAAGAATAGGTCGATAGCGAGCTAGTCAATTTTCGAATCTAGCGATATAAATTCGTTTAATCTAAACCGAGATAGCTTCCATTTCAAATCTCCTCGAGATCAACCTCCTTCTATTCCACCTTCAGTTCTCCTTCCTCTTACACGCTCGACCTCTTTCAAGCCCGGCAATCCTTTGCTCACGGCTGTACCCACCTCCCTTATATTCTGCTCGCTTCTTCCTTCATCCTCATGCTCTCGCTCGTGAGAAAGATAGAGAATAAGAGAGAGAAAGAGAAAGAGAAAGAGAGAGAGAGAGAGAGAGAGAGAGCTCTGCTATTCCTGGATTCCAGTTGCCTAAGACGCCTCCACCGACCGCAGAGTAAAGTATGGGCCCATACTTCACCCGCGCGAAGCTTCGTTCTACCCCTCTCGTACACCTCCCCCTTCCTCCTTTTCCTCCTCCTCCTCCTCCTTCTCTTCCATCGAGCGCGTCTAATGAAACTTTGAAAAATCACCGGAATTAACCGAATTTGAATTACATCGAGAGTTCCCTCGAATAGCGTCAAAGAAAGTGAGAGAAAGACGACGTGGAGTGAACTCGCCAGAATAGAACCAAAGAGATGGAGGAAGAAACTAAGCAATATATATATATATATATATATATATGTACTAGTACTTCAACCTTTGCGGTACTATTTTTTCTCTAGTAATCTAAAAAGAAAAAAGAAAAGAAAAGAAAAAAACACTAAGACAAATTTCAAGAAATTCTGCGAACTCTTTGAAGTTCTCTTAATCGTACAATAGATTTTCACAATATCGCGGACGATCCTGTTATTTCTCAGCGATCGATATGTAGCACGATTTTACACTATAGAGAGTTTCCATGTGATCTTCGTGTCACTTCGCACCAATCCAGTTTCTAAAGAACACCCGATACTCCTGTTCTCGAGACAAAAAATAAGAAAAACTTATGAAAATGACTCGATCTCAGATCTAGTTATTCGCGAAGTACCGTCGCGAAAAATGAAGGAGAACCGTTCGCAACGTTGCAAGTTCAATGGACACTGGCCGAGAGAGAGTGGGCCCGATTCGAAAAATGACCGTCGCGTTTGCTTCCCCTTTCCTAGACCTCCCCCTTCTCCGAAAGGTAGGTCCAGCTAACCCCACTGGCCCCGTTAAAGTTGCGAAGAAGGAAGAAACGGGTGGACGGAGCTAAAGGAGAGCGTATAAAGGTGAAAACTGGACAAACCAGTTTACCGTTTTCAAAATTAGGCTCCCCCGGTTGTCGTATAGGTCCGCACGCTGTCCGATGTCCACTGTCCACCAGGGGTTGCGTTCGAATACCAACACACTCACACGCAAATGCACGTGCGTGAATGCACGTTGAACTCAAGTATGTAACGAGCGAGAGAGGCCCGCTGCAATGCAGGCCTGAGACCAGTCTTTCACGATATAACATTGATTCTTTCCTTTCCCATTGTCGAACCTCGAAATAAAAGGACCCAAAAATTTATGTAGAGTTAAACCAACGTAACTCTCGAGGTCGTGCTTCCGACTAAATCAAGATTACCGACA